GAGAGGTCGTGACATGCACACACGCCACGCTAAAATCGAAAGACACTACCTATTGTACATAGAAATTAGCACGTTTGATGGTACATATGTGCGCGCATGAAACAACACCGGGAAACAATTCACGTGAAAATAAGTTAAGAATACACATGGATTTTAAAAAGACCGAAACACTTTAGGAAAAAAAGAGTCATTTCGTGCAAATGAGACACTCCAGAATGCGATGCGGGGCTTTGAACCCCAACAGTCAAATGCCGTTCATGCTCCCACCGTGCTACTGGCTGCACACAAAGCTTGCGACGCCTCAGGCGATACAGTGCGCGCATGTGCTGCATCGTATCGTCCGATGCGGGACCGCGAACAGGGGGCAACATTTACTGCCACCACTGCCATTGCATGCGCCACATGCACACTCGCAGCTGATACCCTCAGGGACAAGAAACTGCCAATCAAAGGTGAGGCGGTGCATCCATTCCAGATGCGCATGCTGACGCACCGGAGCACACGAGCAGGGAGCCGAATGATGGGGCCGCACACGCTACCCTCCGGTCTTCTCTAGAAGGGTCAAGGGCATCTGGATGTGAATGCTGACGACACTGTCGCTGGCTATGCTGCGAGTCCTCAAGGCACCTCCTTGGGAATTGCCAGAGCCACATCGAGAGGGCCTGTCAGCAATGTCATCCGCCTCAAATGCCGCACTATCACCATCACCATCATTGTGCATCCACCGCACGTGCTGGAGCTGCTGCTGCGACCGAGGGTGGCTGTGCGGGTTCAGCGGGTTCAACTTGGTGCCATCAGCGGTCAAGGCGGAAACGCGCTTCGGCACCACTGTGGAAGCGACCATGCCACTGCTCGACGCGTCCGAGGCGAAACGTCCAGAGGTGCGCGGCTGTGCGCTGACGTCGACGTCGGCATTGGCGTTCGCCAGGCGCTGCCGCATCTGCGCCACAGACGACATCTTGATGGCTAGGCGATTGATCATGCCTTGGCAGTAGTCCTCATCAGTTATGCGGGAGCTGCGCTGTGGGATGGCAATGTTCCACTTTTGCAGTAGCGGCTGCAGCCCCTTCACGCGCTGGACGACTGAAAATGGGCTGAAGCAGTTCGTGAGGACAGCGGCCATAGCGGCAGCGGGGCCTGCAACTGTGCCCGCGGATGACAGCAACGCGCTTGCGTCGTTCGACGTCGTGTCACCCTTATCGTCGTCAGGCAACAGTACATCCAGTTCTGTCCGCAGCCCCGCGTACTGACGGCCGGGGACGCTGTTCAGCTGATATATCTCAACCGAGTACGGCACCCCGCGCAGCCGCTGTGGACCCAGGCTCACACACTGCAAGGACGCGCGCTCGCGCTGCGACAGCGACCACCACGCCCACTCCGTCAGCAGTACCTGCCCACCGTTGCCGATCGCCTCCGTACGCGCCGCCATGTTCGACACCTCGCCGTAGTAGTCAATGCCCCCCGTCACCCTATCGTGGCGGATGTCACACAGCCCAGTGTGGATCCCGATCCGCACACGCAAGCCGTTCCACAGCGCGCCATACTCATCACTGGTTAGCATCGCCGTCGGCGGCTTGTACTCAGCGTTCTCATCCCGGCGCCGCTTCTCAAACTCACGGTAAGCACTGTCCAGCTCGCGCGTGCCCCACCGGTTCCTGAGCATCAGCTCCTGTATTTCACACGCAACCTGCATGGCGGTGTACG